ATAAGAAAAAAATAGAGCTGAATTTCGGAGGAAATGAAGGAAAATTACCTGCATCATCAGCAGTTGGTTAGACCTGGCTGGGTCAGGAACTGATCTACTGGATTCGCCCATCCCAGCAGTGGCCTTCAGCGACCAGATCCTTGCCCTGTCTACTTCGGACATGCCAGCAAAATTGCCGAAGTAGGCTGCAGCTCCTTCTCGGTTTTGACCCCATATGAGGTCCCAGATGTGATCTGGGATTGGAATTCGGGGGGCCGAGAAACCCATTTCTCCAGAATGCAGAGTCTGGAAAGAAGGGAAGGACGACGATGGAGCTTGATTAGCCTTGGTTGTCTCAGCATCGTCCTTCTCAGAGGAGTCAAGTACTATGACCTCCTCTTCTTCAGGGGTGAGGACGAAAGCCTCAACCTCTCTTGCGATATCTGCCGTGAAGCCTTCAGCACTTGACATCACGACATCTTTATTTTCGTGCTCAGCAGCACTCTCCTTGATTTCTTCTTGGACCCCTCCCTTAGGTTCGGGAGTTCTCTGATCCACCTCCATCTCAGGAGGTGGCGGAGGGGTCTTTTGAGGAGATTGGGGTGTTGGCTGGGGAACCCTCGGCGATCCATTGCCTTCCTCAGGTTCCCTTATTGCGACGCCGATGGTCATCGGCCTCTGCTGAAAATCATGAGGGCCGATGATGGCCATCCTTCGGCGCCTTTTCAGAAGGGGCTGCTCGTCCATATCTGAGTCTGAAGACTCTTGTATTTGATCTTCGGGACGAACAGGAGCTTTGCCTTCTCTGTGTCTGTTACTCTCTTCAGACTGTAACAGACAGGGGGGAAGAAGAGTGTGAGTAAAAAAAAAAAAAAAAAAAAAAAAAAAAAAAAAAAAAAAAAAAAGAAAAAGAAGAAATGAAAAAAAAAAAAAAAAAAAAAAAAAAAAAAAAAAAAACTCACCGAGGTTTTCAGCAAAGCCTCGTCTTCTTCAGCTGCTCTAGCTGCAGCTTCGGCTTCAGCAGCTCTGGAGGACCCTTCTCCTCCTTCACAAGCCTCAAGTACCCGTGCAACCTCTTCGGCTGTGCGGGCAGCTTCAGCTTCTTCGTTCAGCAGCTGAAACCAAGGGTCTCTCTTCTTCCACCAAGGCTTCTGCCTCTGATACAGAGCAACAGCCTCAATTTGGAAGTGGGAAGAGTCCAGATGAACTTCCCTATGCCTCGGCTCAGTGATAGACGGGGCCCGTTCAGTTACAACTCGCTCTCGGTTAACACCAAGACGAGCGTAGTTAATACCAACGTTGGTCTCGTCCCGCTCTGAAAAAAGGAAAGGGAAAAAGTTTAGCTCAGATATGTTGGCACAGCATAAAAAAGCAAAGCGAGAGAAGAAAAAGAGGTAGTTAAAAGCCTCGGCCCCAGCCGAAGAAGCTTACCATCCTTAAATTTTCGGCTGAGGCCAACAGCTGCTAGCATATTCTCTTGGAAAACGTAATGCGTATCGGGGAGCCAAGTCTCCGGGATATGCTGCATTCGACCACTCCCCCCCGGGTTCGGCAGCTTGCCGAAGATATGTTGCTGATCCAGGTTCGGATCCGCCCCGTTATCTGCGGGGGGACCTAGACTTCCCATTTCGGGATCAGGCTCAGCTAAGTACCGGGGAGCGCTGAAGACGCAAGGGTGGCCCGGATCTATGGGTGCCCTAACCCAAATCCATTGACCTCTCCAGTCCTTGTCTGAAGAGTCATTTGGCCACATGGTCAAGTATTGGGGCCGGGACTCAATCCGATACCACCCAGAACCATGGCTTCCGTGCCCACTCTGAATATTTGGCACTAGCCGATGGAGCTTTCTGAAGCAGTGCAGGTTCGGCACGTATTTGAAGAACTTGCAGACCCATAAGTATGTCATCACCCTTCGGATGCTGGTGGGGGTTAGCTGACATAGGGAAATGTTGTAATGGATCAGCAAGTCTCGGACGAAAACGTCCAAAGGGAACCTCAGCCCATACTGAAGCTGTCTCGTGTACACCCCCACATACCCCGGGGGTGGACGATGGATTCTATCGGATGCTGAGGGCATTCGGCACCAATATCCATCAGCTTCAAAAATGCCGTAGTGCAACTCAATTTGCTCAGCAAATCGATATTGATCGGCGTTCTCTACCCACCATGAGTAGGGGCGGTTCTTTATCATGGCCGAAGCGACTTCGGCATTCTCCCACTCTGAAAACCCAGGGAGGATATCCCAAAGGACAGCGGGAATTTCATCGTCCAGTCCAGAAGCACTCGGCTCATCCGTTCTTTGAGGAGGAGCCGAGGAAAGGGGAGTCGCCCTAATCCCTTCAGCAGGGTCAGACTCCGGCCTTTGACCATTCCAGGTCCCAATCCTATTCCTAGGATCGGGAATCGGCCTTGCTCTTCTTGGAGCACGGGCTCTACCTCTAACTCCTCTTGCCATGGATTATTTCGAAGAGAAAAGTCGAAAGAAAAGGGGAAGGAGTTCGAATTCGAAGAAAAATAAACTGAAATCAAAGGAATTTACCTTAATCTGAAGCGAAAGTTGCCGATTTACGAGTTCGTAGTGGCAAGTCTCAGTTTCTAAGCTCAATGCTCGGGGGAATTTGCGAAGTTTTGATGCGGGTTCTTGGTTTCTCTCTCGAAGAATTCTGGGTTTGTGTTGGTGAATAAGTGAGGAGAATGACGCGCCTCTGTTTATATCTCCAGGTACGGGATACGAAGAGTCTGTGCTTTAATTTCTCTTAAGTACCCACTAAGTAACCATTAAACACATGTCTTGTGATTAAACTGCCCATTATCCGTCCAACTTCCGCAAATCATTAACCGTTGTTATCTCATTAATTACGGTTTAAATTCAAATTTTTGGATCAATTAAATCATTTACTTCCCTCCTTTTCTGAGTTAAATCAAACCCGACCCGTCATTCTTCCAAATCGGGTCTGGGGGGCAAGTTGTTTGGGTCCAATTTAGTCAAAATTGGGCCTGAGCACTAAATGATCCAATTAAAAGCCCAAGGTCAAGGTTCAACTCTCCAATTGCTCAAAAGTCAAAAGTCAGCCCACAAAGTAAGCCAATTGGGCTAAAGCCCAACCTCTCCAAGTATGATGAGGTATAAAAGCCCTCATATTAACACATTCAAGGAGAGAGGAGATACATTATCACATATGATCAGTCATATTCCAATTCGTATGCTCATTCTTGCATTCAGAAATATTCCACAAAAGCCTCAAGCTACAAACTCTCTTGCATAGTGTCTTCCTTTTACACATTATACTGACTTTAGCATCGGAGGGGCCTTCCTCGGAAACACCCCCGAGGCTAGTTTACGTGTGTTCACTGTGCAGGAAACCTTCGGCCCAACACAGCTTGGATCGAATCCAGTCTTCTCCATTTCAGTGGACCTTCGGCAAGGTCCCATTGTTTTCAACCGAAACACCTAATACCAATTGGATATTAGATAGCAAAGGCATTCCATAATCGTTTCAATGGACGTCCCCTCAAAATAATGAGCAACTATGATAATTAAATAAAATAAAATGTAAAACAAGGGCTAAGTTTAATTTTCAGCTTCTATAATAAAACATAGAATCACCATAACGAGGACTCATATATATATATATATATATATATATATATATATATATATATATATATATATATATATATATATATATATATATATATATATATATATATATATATATATATATATATATATATATATTTTATTTCCTCCTAACCGGCTAGTCCCTCCTTATCTTCTCAGTCATCCCCTACCAAAAGATCCTTTCACTGATCTATTCATGTGCACAGATAGCGCACACGCACACACACATATGTATTTTATACTACTCCCTCCATTTTTAGATTTTTGCTCCATTTCCCCATGCGCGGAGTTTTAAGAGAAATTAGATAAAGTAATAAAATATGAAGGTAATGGGGTTGGTGGAAGAATAAAAAATTATAGAAAACAAAAGTAGTGAAGAGAATTAGAGGAATGGGAATATATGTTGGGACCAATAGGTGAGAGTAATTGATTAAATATTATAAAAGCTTTCCAAATAAGAAATTAGAGCAAGTATTTAAAAACGGCCGCAAATGAAAAAGTGGACCAAGTATTTAAAAACGGAGGGAGTACTAGAGTAAGTTGTTTTAGTAGTATTATTTATTAGTCATTAAATACAATGGTACAATATTTGTACAACTAGAAAAAATAATTCATTATTTTTTTGTTTTATAGCTGCTATTTACTTCCCATATAAATAATAGTTATAATCAACCTATCTTTGTCAAACTCTCTTTACCAAACAACACCAATGGAGTGCATACTCAAATCTTGCTACTCTACTAGGATATTCAATAAAATAAATTAATAAAAAATATTCTAGGAAACAATTTGACCATTAAAGAAGGTATATATAATTAGGTGGAAGTAGAAAAGATGAAGATGTTAATTTGACATTAAATTATTCACCCTCCAAACCTTACTCTACCGACTATCGGAAACAAACGAAGCAAGGAACGTATTGCTTCTTTCAATAGTAGTAGTTGGTCATCCAAAAGACCAAAATGATCCTTAGTCCCCAATCCACCTCTCTTACGGAAAAAAGGATGACTTCACAAGTACGTAACCTTACCCTAATATAACATTGACAGCTAACAACCTTACCCTATACGGCACCGTTCCACGTACTTTTCCACTTCTCTTCCAAAATAAAAATCCTATGAGAGAGTAAGAGATAACTCAAGTGGTTAGAGCTCCCCTTTTAATTCCAAGAGATATTGAAATTGATTCTCATAGCTAAAAAAAAAAAAACTCATTAGATTTGTTACTATCAACATGAAAGCAGTAAAACCGATTCAAAAATTTCATTAACCTTTTTTTTTTCCGTATAGAAATTTCACTAACCAGAAGTTAATACAGTATATGCCAATGCCAATATGCTATTAATCAGATAATTTCTACAATTAAGTGAGCACAAAAGTATAAAGTTTGAAATACTTACAGATGGAGTAATTTGACATTTAAGCCCTTCATAGCCATTATCCAAAGCATTCATTGATTCATCATCCTCATGATCACAGAGCCAGAGGTCTTCATCCAATCTGCTATAATCACCCAATAATTGCCCAAATTGATTAATAACACCCAAATCCAACAATTGCCCAAATGAAACATGGGTATTGGGAATTGGATCAACCCCATTTTTCTCATTCCCAGAAATTGCAACACCCTTATTTTCAGGGGTAGCCATTATTATAAATCAAAACTTTGATATAAAATCAGATTCAAAATGCTCACATAGAGCTTTAATGGGGTTGATGCAAGATCAAATGAAGATTTTGGATTGCTCCTTAAATCCAAAATCTATTTTCGCCGGAAAAACTCTCGTCTTCACCAAATCCTACTTTCAGCACCCAAGACAGAGGAAACAGAGCATCGACTAAATCCGACCTTCCGTGAACCTCATCTTCGATAAAATCTATCTTGCTTTTTCTTTCTTTTTGCTTTTTGAGTAGTTACTTGGTGGTTTTGTAATGGAATGTGATCCTATCTTTACTCTTTCGGTGGTTTTTCTCAAAATATTTCCAACCCTATGATAGGTGGAGTAAAATACTGGTTCATGACTGAATTGGTATATCAGGGGATATATATCATTTTACTCATTAGATTAGGGATAAAGAGTGAAGCTCACAACAGTCATCGAACCTTGAACCACTTGTCAATATTCTTCACTGAGCATTGAGCTACCTACAAAGATTCTCAATAATAATGCTAGCTTATTTGTTATATTCTTAAATTGATATGAGGCCCTATTAACTTTTGGGCCCTGTGCAATTGCTCACCGTGCACACCCTAAGGGTCGGGCCTGTCCTTCAATAGGATGTACCAAGACTACCACCATAGCTATATGGCTTTCTTTCTCCACACAAACAAACTGCACACCACACCACTATCATAGGTGGTGGTTAAAATTGCTACCGCAAAAGAGATGCTTCTCCTAGGGGTTAATTGACAAGCGGTCGCACACCTAACAAAAATAATAAAAACCTAACTAATCCTCTTAAGGTAGTATCAATATTGGGTTCCTATGAATTATAAATAGTTGAGTCAATCAAAGGGTTGAAACTATTTCTTGAATAATTTTGAGAATTTAGAAAAAATTCATGTTAATTAATTAGTTTACTTAGACAAAGGTGTTGTAAATTAATTAATAAAAGATTATTAAAGCAAATAATATGTTGAAGGAAGTTTAAGATTGTTCTCGGCAACGAGAAACCCTTTAAACGTTAAAATGGCAGTTATGTAACTATGTTAATATGGCAGTTATTGCCATATGACGGTTTTGCTTGGTAAAATATGGCAGTTATTCCATATGACGGTTTTCCATATGTTGTATGATATGGCAGTTAATCCATAGACGGTTATTCCTTCAACATGGCAGTTATTTTGCATGGGTGGTGGTTTATATTTGCTTTAGTATAAATATGTTCATGGGGGAACATAGTTGTCAGGAAGTTTTTTGAGAAAGGAAAAACTTATTTCCTTTATTTTCTTTCTCAAAACCGTATTGCAAGACAAAATTGTCACCATCATAATTTCTTAATTTTGTTTTACATTTTAACCACAAGTATACTACACACTATTGTGGTTGTCTTCAATGTATCTCTTAGTAATTTCGTGATACCCGGTGTGTTTAATCAGCTAGGGTCGAAATATTACTTTGGGAAACTGATTTTGTTCAGGCCTCGAAGTATTAATTTGTCCAATTTCGTGTCATTTTTGTGACCCAATAATTCATTTTCCCCAACAATCCAAATTAATAATTTAGCAAAAATGTCAACGGTGAAAGAATTAATGTCAAACTTTCAAAAGTTGGACAAATTTGAAGGAGTTGATTTTCAAAGATGGCAGAAGTGTAGGAGTTTATAGGTACTACGCAGCGTAAAAACATGAATCATATTCATACAGTACCTAATCCCAAGATCTAATGCATAACACATAAAAAACATATAATCGTACCTTTGAAGCGTGATTCCACGTGCGATCGAGCAAGAACAATGGGAGATAAAGAACCCCGAGCGTGAATCCTCTACTTGGTCTACAGGCACAGATTAAGACCTTCACTAATGCTAGTTAGTTGCAATTGAACCCTTCAATTTACCTTCTATGGAGAAGTGTGAGCACCACGAACCACCACACGCGCCACCAAGGTGGCCGACCGTACGGACGAGGGGAGGAGAGAGAAACCCGTGAGTTAGAGAGAGGAATTAGGGTTTTGGGATTGGTTGCCTTGATGTCAAAATTCACTGTGTGTGAATTATGACTGCTAACATGCAACCCTAGGCATGGATCTTATTTATAGATTTCATCTGTAAATAAGAGCCCATGTCAAAAGTCCAAAACCTAATTCCAATCTAACTATGCTAGCCCAATCCATTTCATGATTAGTTAAATGCTCATGAGGCCCATTAATGGGCCTCTAACTTGCTTAACCCAATACCCTTGTGTGTGACCTCATAGGATCCATTCTAGCGGGTTTTGGACTATTTGACTAGTCTAAAGATCATCTCTCATAGTCTAGCAACAGATGATGACGCCCCAAGAGAACGAACTTATTATCTCCATAATAGTGATCCTTGATATATCTAGTAATTGCACTTATCGAAGACATTACTCCTTCAATCTCCCACTTGTCTGAGACAAGTGCGCAATATTCAAATTCCTTAAGTCAATGTGTGTCGATTTGATAATATGATTGCATCTCATGTCGTGATCATATTAGTCTACAAATCTTTTTTTGAAAAACTGAGTTAGATTCACAGAACAAATGATTACTATGTAATGCATTTGAGCACGACCATGCATTTTCTGAATTCCCCCTCTTCAAGGGGCCAAGACACATTCCTAATTAAATAGGTAGACTCAATCCAATCTTGTGGCAACCAAAGCTCCCACTCAACTTTTGAAGTAACCGGGAAACATCCTTTATAATCTCCAGTTACGGGCAGACGTTTGAATGTACCACAGTCAAATCAGCCATTGAATGGAATCAGTGTTCCACTCATGTCAAAGGAATCCACTAATATATCCGGAAGCTCTGTACTTGAACTTCAAAGTAGGTCTATATTTTGATCATGCATCATTCATGCATACCCATGTGATTGACCGAGTTTCACTACGCTCCTATAGCCCATGAAACTGCGCTATCCAATCAATCTTACATGCTAGTCCATTAATTGAAATCATTTATGTCCAGTTTAATGACTCTGAACTAGGAACTTAAATTATATGAATTTAGTTCACCTGTGGGGTTTCATTCACCAGGTCATCAATCTGATGAGCCCAGCAATTCATAATTATTTTGGACATTTTATTTAATATTGAAACCACGATTAAATAAGATTGAAACTTTGTTTCAATTGATAAACATAATTCTGCAAATGAATGTATTACACATGTAACTTGTTTTTCTCCAAAAACAAATACAACTTCTAATTACATCATTTGCCTCAATCCAGTTTCATTAGCATGTTTCTCATGCTTTGGAAATGGAAGGGGTTTATTAAGTAGAGTTCATGAGACATTCTCATAAACATAAATTTTGCAATTTCTAAATTTTAATAATATTCATCTCCATACACTAAGAATCTTCTTTCATCCCTTTACTAGGAATTTTGGAATTTCTAATTTGTATTCCAACGTTATATTGGATTTCGATTGTAATCTATTTTCACTTGTTTTTTAAACGCGTGAATCAAATAGACGAGTATAGTCCATGACATGCATGATGCATCTTTTGCATATTGCATGAGGATCATCACTCAAAACCTTTATTTCATCAACCTTTCTCAAAGCATTGAATCATTACGCAACGTGTCATGTTACATGGGATTGAAACTCCTTTTCAATATAATGTTGAACCTTATAAGAATCTTATCAATATAATCTTCTTAACCAAACTCAAACATCCTTCTAGATCTATCACTATAGATCTTGAATCCCAAATGTACTCATCATCCTCTTCAAGGTTTTTCATACAAAATGCACTACCAACCACTTGACTCTTCAAGCAATGAATAATTTGCTCTTTATACTAGACCAAGAAGACTTCATAGCTCCCACTAAACATCTTGTACACACAAGACCTTTTCTTCATTTTATGAGAACATCAAACGATTTGATTAACTCACAAAATTAAGAACACTAACTCCATGATGCTATGCATCCCTAGGATTATTGGATCTTCAAACTTTTGATTGTATCATATACAATTCTTCTCTCATGAAAAATTTCAAGAAAGTGTTTTGAAATCCATCTACCAAATCTTATAAGGTAGAAATCACTAAAACATCTTTAATAGATCTTTGCAACGTGACTAATGTAAAGGTTTCATCGCAATAATAGTCATACTATGAATTTGTTGAATCCATTAAAAAGTCTTTGCTTAGATAGAAAACATTTTTCTTTCTTGTCTGCTTTGCTTATAATGGGTCTCACCCAATTAGGCAAATTATTCAAGTGTCATAACTTGCTTACAGACTTAGAATCTATTTTATATTTCTTGGTTTTTAAACCACTTGGAGTTATAACTTGTCAAATTATCTTTGTTACTTGTCAAATCATCATGTTCCAAAATGAATATTCTAGAACTCTTAGTCAACATATGCTAGTCATCATTGTGGGTTTTTATGCAACAATTGAAACTCATACAACAACTTTGTTTAGTTTTCAATGAGAAACGGCAATAGAGGATGTGCACTTGGAATGTACTACCTTCGACACATGGTTATTATTCCCATTACACTTAATGAGACCATGCGTTGTCATTTGTAACATGAGGTGAATCATGCTCATATTGTTGCTTTTATTCGATTACTTCTTGAATTTCTTCAGGACTTTTGAAATCACTTTTCTTGAACTCTTTCAAGGCTCTCAAACTTTTCGAGATTCTTATACTACCACTTGCCTTTTGAGGAGGAACATTTAGCATAGGGTGAACCAATCATGGTTTGAACCACGTTTGTTTGTTGCTTTTCTTTAACTCTTTTGAGATTTATACTACTCCCACTTGACCTTTTGGAACAATTTCCATAAAGGCACCTACTTGAGCAACAAACATTTTGTGCTAAGTGTGATTTGTGTAGTAGTACCTCGTGCTCTGTATAGGAATCAGACGTGCATAAAACGATTTAATACATCTCTTATTCCTTGCTTTGTAGAAAGACTTAATATGAATTTTTCTTATCCATATCTCATATGAAACCTTTGCTACAATTTGTTTTGACCTATGTAGTTTGTTTAGTTTTGTAGCTTATCTTAAAAGTATATCCCCTGAATAACGGTTGGAATATAGGTAATTTTATCCATTATCAAAATATATCTCATATAGATTGATAGCTCCCTTCATAAACACTTCAAAAGGTTTTCTTTCGGAGTTTTTCGTAAAACGATTTCACAACTCTTGGATGTTCATTAAGGTCTTGGCTTAAATTCTCATTATTACGATCATATCGCAATACTTTGAATGTGTTGCCAAGTATATGTCTTGACTTAAATTTTCACAATTACAATCATATTGTAATGCAATCATTATCTTGTCAAGTTGATACTAAACTTCATACTGAACATTTTGAACTTTTCAAAATTTTCACTCTTATGCTTTAACTAAGCACATGTGATCATATCATAAATGAAGTTTCATTGTCCATCTCTAGCCTTTGAA